ACAGCTGACTTTAAGTATACAAAAAACTGACTCCTCAGAAGAAAATTTATCATATGTATAAACAACCTAATGTAATTCTAAATAAGTTCCTAAAATTGTATTGATGTATTAGGCATGAAAGACATAAGCACTAAAGAAAACATTGACTTTCAGATGCATGTTTTATTTTGAAAAAACAGACTCATCCTTCAGTAACAATCAGTATGTTCTTTGCACATCTGTGTTTACAAATATCAGATTTGGAAATATGCTAAATAGAATCATTGTTCTGTTTTTAGTGAAAGTTTAAAAACAATTCACTGTCAATGGAAGTCCAATAGTGATCAAGTCAGCATTACCTTTTTTCATTTTTACTCTACAAGAGTCAGGAAAACATTGACTCTAACTTTCTGAAAGAGCATCCCAAACACACCTGATTAGCTAAGTAATATTTGGAACCTTAGGAATTTGTTCATAATTCAGATATGTCATAGAGAAGGTGCAAGCTTTACCTGCTCTCAGGGAAAAAAAGATTCACTCCTTCAGGAGTATACAGAATACCTTGTTATAGTGAGGTTACACAAAGATTGATGCCTTTTAGATACCAACCCTTTCTTCCTGCAATATTCACACATTTCAGATCCTACCAGGACTAAATCTATTCAACTCACAAAACAAATACTGCAGCACAGCAACAAGCTACTGGCTGAAGTAATCCTTTGCTATGAATTAACTGGACTGTTCTTAATGGTGTCTCAAAACCAACCCCACCCATTCAAGATGCTGAGCATGAACTTGTACCCCCACATTAACAGCACTGTGCTATGCATAGCAGAATTTTTGGGAATCTGAAACTTGTTAGGATTGGTTGATTTTACATTAAAGTAACTATCACCCAATCACCTCAGAGCCAGACTGGACCTCTTCTGCAGACGGATGAGACTCATCAAGTGTTGTGGATTCACTGTTGTGCTCTGACATACCTGAAAACCAAATAGGTTTGGCATGCATTAATTGAAGTGAAAGGGGCTGGATGTTGCACCTCACAGAAACCAAAGCAGGCTTTCAGAAAACATTTCTTTTATAAGTTCTGCTAAATCAAAACAAAACCTCCTTCTTTTGATGGTAACCAGGTCTTTAGCTCTCCAAAAATCTAAGAGATTAGGAATACAGTCTAGTGTAAACTTCCACTGCCAAAGCAACCTTTCCCCACAGACAACTAAGCTTGCAACATAAAACCCTGGAAGTCAAACAAGGTTCTTCAGCTGATATATGCACTGCCACCTGCAACAATACACTGACTGTATCCTACCATTGCAAAGATCACCATTTTGTTAAGACATGATTTATCCAAACATTGCAAGATTATATTGATGCTAAGCCACTGAAACTTTTTAAGCTGTTAAATCTGTTGTGTTTACTAGAAACAGAATCCCCCTCATTTTAGCCTCCAAAAGATCTCAGCTACAGAGGCAAAGAAAGTTAATGCTGAGCACATGCACCAGAAATCAGCTATGTGAATATAGTCATCATGAAAGATGAAATAGATACACAATTTTAGCTTAAGTAAGGAAAAGCATCTAAATTTGATTCCAAGTAGCTGGTAACTGCAGGTGACACCACAATTCACTCAGCTGTTTGAAAGGAGGAGACAACCAATCATTAAAAATTAATCAATCTGCCAGTATTGTATATAATCACACATGACTTCAGTTCATTAAATCTTGCACCATTTCATACATGTTCAGACATATACCAGATTAGGAAAAATTATCAAGTTATTATTTGTATTTATATTGTATTTCAAATTCCTGAACTATAAAACATTCTAATTAAAGCAAATAATTAATAAGGTAAGCAGCTCACATAACAAGGGAAATAAAATAAGGGTACAAAGGCTGAGAAACTGACTCACCTTGATCACCTAGATCATATTACACTGGATAACCTATTACTTTATTTTGGAAAACTAAATACGTAAAGTAAGAGATTTTCTCCAGGAAAACAGTTCATTCAGGGTTATCACTGAATGGAGGTGGATTTATCTAGGATTGATATAAAATTCCTTTTGAAGTAATTAGGAAATAAGTTTAACATCCTTATGCAGCTTTCTTAATTTTTCATATTTCTTTGGGACACGTAAGTCCGTACAGCAGAGATGCTATCTGCCCACATGGTCCTGTCCAAACTCTGCTTGTGGCTGAAAACAACCTCCGTGCTTAACAGCTTATTTCTGACTAGCTAAAACAATTACATTATAGAGAAGGAGAATAAGTGTGATTTCCTTGCTCGAAAAGGAAACAAAAAGCTATATTCATCTTGTAGTAGAGCCTTCACTAAGACAATCTGTTCTTCAGTTCTACCACACCAGAGCTTCCAGACTTATATTTGTATATCACATACAAGCCTATGTACCGTGGTAACACTGTTCTAAACTATTAAATGCTACAGGCAAAAACATTTTTAACAGATTTAAGAACCCAGGGGCAAGAACCATCTCACAAATCCATGTAGAAAACACTACATAAAGGCAAATAATTTTTTAAAAGGCAAATGAATTCATCATTTGTGTTACAACACCCCTCCATGATCAATTTTTTGTAGTGTTCTTTTCCTACAAGTAGTGCTAACAGTTTCAACACAGCTCCACAGGATCACAATGATCAAGTTTAAAACATGAGAAGGAGGAAAAAATGTAGATTAAATGTGGCTTTCATAAAAAGTTCAACTGCACATTCAAATTTAACTACAGAATTTCCTGATTACCGCTTCTACAGAAAAGAAAAGGAATGTAATCATCAAACACCGGATGCAAGGATGAAAACTTTCTACACCTCCACCAAGATTCGGAAATGAAGACACTCCTGTGAAATTGTGGTAATCAAGACATTTACATACACATATCATTTAAGGTTCCACTACAGAAATGCATACAGACTTTTGCATCTCTGTAGTTCTTGCAGATGCCAGACAAAGGGCTGCTCTTTGTAAGAGGTCGCTAATCCCCAGTACAGGATGGATTGTGCTATCCAGGGCTTAGTTTGTCTCTTCACTAAAGCAGCCACAACTTCAGAACACATCAGGTGACTGGTGTCCCAGGACATTTGCTACCACCTGCTGCAACAGAACAACTCAAAAACATGCTTGATCCATATTCTGACAAGAACTGAAACCCTGTCCATATCACTCCTGTTCTTCTGGGTTCTCTTCTAGCCCACTATACCAGTTGTGCAAATCCACACAAATACTGCATCACAGTAGGACAGAAGGCACAGACTAGACTAAGAATCATTCCCACCATGGTGAAGCTACCTTAAATGCATATTGAATTACAGCCTCAGTAATTTTAAGCTTTGCTCACCATAAATAAAACCACATGATTTTGAGTCCTGAGGATTTATATATCACTTCTTCAACTGGAAAAGTAAAAAGCAAATCAACTTACAAACAGCATAGTAAGCTTCCTCTAGGATGAAGACATATAGAGATATTTAACCATTTATAATTAATGGTTTTAAGAGCATACTTATGTACTTTTCATAAAAAAGGCAAATTCATATTTGCTTATTCATGAAACTATGAAGTAAATGTCATCAACAATAAATTAACTTTTATTAAGAAGTATATTCCTCACATATTTACATCACATAAGTAAATGATTTATGGTCTCAGAAAGAAGAACCAAGGGATTCTCAACAATCGGATCTGCTTTTCTAAGCAAGATGCACTGGTTCCTTCAATTACTTTTCTCCTAAATTAATTGCCAACAAGGCAACAGCAAGATATCTTCTGTCTAAAATGAAGTTTATTACACACTTTTATTGCTGTCTTACTGCATAAAGAATGAAAATTTTTGTAATATTGCACAAAATCCAAGTGCTGGTGGAAAAATGATAATTTTATGGATGTCTTCTTAATTTCAATTTATAACTAAGAACACTTTCACTAATTCTTGTCAAGATAGAGATCAACCACTTTTTAAAAAAGATTGTAAAAATCTGTATTAAACACTTCCTGCTGCAATCACACCATAGCTTCCTCTTAATGCTCTTGAATTCCCTGGCTGCTCCACTTGCAAGATCTAATTATGCTTGGGAGTTAGAAAACATGATGGAGACAAAGACTGGAGAACAGGGCTGCTGCTGACTTTCACACTTCCCATGCTACATCAACCCAGCCCTGACCACTTTAATGCTCTGCTCATCTCCAGATTAACTAAACCATGGGCTCCCATTATATTTTAAACTTCTACCAAATCAGAAAAAAACAGCTGATCAAGCTACTGCCTCAGCTTCCAATGTTTTCAATCTAACACTCCTCTGTGCTTCTTATTCCTGATACTTTAACTATGTGTGTACCTACATACGTAAACATACACACAATTCCGAAAGTTTTGGAGTTGCACTGATCAAATAACATCCTTCTCCAGCCCTGCAAAAAGAACCCTTCTGTTATCTTCTCTAGAGAATCAACTCTTAGGTAACAGAGCCACCGAGTGCAAAGCGATAACTCCTTGCTACCTTTTCCACCAAGCATAAAAAGCACACGAGAGAAACTGAAACTACATCCTGGGATGGATGTTCAGAATGATCCCCTCCAAAGGCTTTCATGCAAGATGAAAGGCTATTAGGGGGGTTCGATTAAAAATAACCTATTAGAGAGGTACTATAAGAAATACTGGAAGATCTGTTTAGTTCGGAGACAGTACCACATGCAACACCTGCTTGTCACACAACACCAAAGCGTTTCCACGCTTTAAGAACACTAAGCAAAACACAAATTGGCACACTTAAAACAGTAATTGCCAGGGTGTGGAATAACTCCCAGGGGCACAGAATTTACAAAGCATCTACAGTTTTCTTCCTCCACCAACACACGGCTTCCCTTTCTCTCTCCTGGAACCCGCCCGCCCCCGAGCTCGGGCGATGCCCACCCTGTCCGGCCGCCCAGCACCCCCGGAACGGGGCGTACGAGCCGGGCCGANCTCTCAAGCTTTATTTTCTTCCTTCTCCGGCAGCGGCAGGAGCCGGAAGCGCCGGGCCGGAAAGGGGATGACGGCGGCGGCCTCTCTAGGCCGTCATGTCTATGGTAGCAGCCATGGCAACCACGGCGGCACCGCCCGGGAGGCCGCTCCGGCCCCGAGTGCCGTGCCTGGAGATCGGGCCGCCGGCTGGGAGAGCAGCAGGAGCGGCAGAGACGGAGCCTGGCCGGCTGTGGGCGCGGGTGAGCGCGCCTGGGAGACGCTGCTCGGTGCCATGGCAGAGGCTCTGCCCGAGCCCACGGTGAGGAAGAAAAAAAGCATATCCATCGAGGAGAAAATCGACATCATAAGCGCCGTGGAAAGCGGCAAGAAGAAGGCGGACGTTGCAGCCCAGTACGGCATCAAGAGGAACTCCTTGTCTTCGATTATGAAGAATAAGGAAAAAGTTTTGGAAGCCTTTGAAACTTTACGGTTTGATCCTAAAAGGAAAAGACTGAGGACTGCTTTTTATGCCGACCTGGAGGAGGCATTGATGAAGTGGTACAGAATTGCACAGTGCTTGAATATGCCGGTCAATGGCCCTATGTTGCGCCTGAAGGCGAATGATTTTGCCCAGAAACTTGGACACAGTGATTTTAAATGCAGCAATGGTTGGCTCGATCGTTTCAAGTCGAGGTATGGTTTAGTTTTCAAAGCTCAGCCTGTAGAAGCAGCTGCTACTCCTACAGTGGGTGCTCCAACTCCTTGGTGCCAGAATGTGCTTCCTTATTATTTCAATGATTATCGGCGAAAAAATGTGTTTTACATACAGGAGACTGTGTTGTTGTATCAGATGTTACCACATAACACTTTTGCATTTAAAGGGAAAACTTGTTCTGTGGGTAAACAAAGCAAAGAGAGCATCACTGTAGCGGTGGGTACAAATATGGATGGCTCTGAGAAACTCCCACTCCTCATTATAGGAAAAAGTCCATGCTCTTTCAAAGATGTGAAATTGCTGCCAGTGGATTATGAAGCAAATGACAGGGCGTGCATGACTTCAGGAATCTTTGAACAGTGGATGCATAAACTTGATAACAGATTTCAAGCACAGCAGCGCCGTGTGGTTATTCTTGTTGATTCTCTCCCAGCTCACACAGAAGTAAAGAACCTGAAGTCTGTCAAATTAGTGTTCTTTCCTCCAGACTCCTCTTCATATATAGCTGTGAAAGAAAGGATTATCAGAAGTCTGAAGGTTAAATACAGGCACTGTCTTATCAAGAGATTTGTTGACTGTGTAGAAAGTAATAAAGAGTTTATGCTAACCCTTCATGATGCAATTGAGATGCTGTACCTGTGCTGGAGGGAAGTAACACCAGAGACTATTGTAAAAAGTTACAATGGAGCAACTTTCAAATTAGAAACTGAGACAAGTGATAATAACAATGAGGTTGAAAGTGATTTTGATTTGATTGCACATGCAAGGGCAGCTGGAGTAGAGTTTCCAGAAGTTTTGTCTTTGGATAAATATGCAGCTCTAGATAATGGCTTGGAAACTTATGAAGTGCCCACAAATAATGAAAGGATGTGTGCCAAAGAAAGTGCATCAGAAAAAGCTGAGACAGTTGTTGGTGATGAAGTTAAGGATGAAGGCAGTCGACTTCAGGGAGCTGAACAGCTTTTACCGTCCAAAAATGAGGCTTTGAGTGCTTTAGATACCCTTCGAAAGTTTCTCGGAAGTCAAGAGACAGATGATTCTCTCTACGATTCCTTATCTGACTTGGAGAATTTTATTCAACATGTAGTATGTGAATAAATATTTTAGCAAAGTGGGAAAGCATGTAATTGAAAAAAAAATAAATTCTATAATCAAAGATAGGAAGTTTAATAACAAGCATTGCTTAATGCTTGCTTAAATGTTCTCTGGTGTGTTTTGCTCAGGTGCCTAGATGAACATAACAAAACTATGAAAAAGGGCTATGAACTGAAATTTTCCACAAAATCAGGAGCAAATAACAAATATTTGAGGTAGAGAGAGGGAGTAAGCTGAACCTTTAAAATACTAACTGTAGTAAGTACAGTGGAGGCAAAAGAAATTCTTCGAGCGGTTTTGGTGCGCTCAGGATAAACTGTTGACCACCTGGAATTCTTTCTTCAAGAAGAAACTAGCACTTTTATGCATCAATAATTTCACTGGCATTTTGGGGGTTTTCACAGTGGAGTAGTAAATATTATGACCTTGGTGCTTTTGATACATAAACACAAAATTGAATTACACAGAAAATACTTGCTTAAATTCTGAGAAGGCATTTTAAAAAGAAATATTTTTTTCCCTTCATCAAGAATTCTGCCTATCATTTACTTTTGCAGTGGGTGATAAACAGCAGAAAGTTACCACAGCTTTGAATGTGTTTTTTTGTTTTCTTAAAACCGCTCATATGTGGATACACTTGAATGGCATAATAATTTATCCAAGAGTCAAAAGACAAACAAACCTTTACTTGGTCTTTGAAGAGGTCAAAAAAGGAAGGTCGATCTCTCCTTTTCAGCCTTTTTGGTGCATAGTTTGATGTAGGTCTTCCTGTGCACCTCCATGTATTTCTACAGTAAATTCAGAAAAAAACCCAACAGTATCTGCAGTAAAAACCTCACTGAGCTCTTGTTTAATTTTCAGTTCTTGGAGGCTTTGCTGTAGGATTCAATGCACTAATGTGATTTATCACTACAAGCCCTATTAACAAGGGTGCTGTTTGCATGATTTCAGTGTGAAGTTCTGTAAGTCGTGGTACATTTGCATGTCTTTGAGTATGCATTTCAAACAATGTAATCATATCAGAGCCAAAACCCTTAGTGTATCTGACCTTCTGGCTTTTTTCAGAACCTGTTTTAAATCTATTCCATATCTATAAATTAATTTTTTTTTCAGAAGTTGGAGATATTTATTTTTCTAATTTAGATGAAGAAGCAAATATTATATGGACGCCCTTTCAGAAGCCTGTAATAAAAAATCTATTATGCTGTCTGTAATTAAACCATGAGAAAAAAATTTCATGCATTTGTGAATCTTCAGTTTTAAATAAATAGTTTGGCTACAGCTTTGTTCATTTTTTTTCTGGTATAGGACAGTTTATCCATTTGTGAAATCATTTAAGTAAATGTATCAGATTGTTGAAAGACAGTGAAAATATTAGAGTTGGTGAGAAAAATCTTTTGGCTGTATGAACATTTTACTAGAACCCCTTCCAAAAATACCCCCACAAACGTCTGGTTTCTTGTTATGAGATATATTATGTGAATTCCATCCAAAGGATATTCTGATTAAATAAGAAATTTCTATTGAAATCCCAATAAATAAAGTCCTACATGGAGATTTATGGATTCCTTGAAAAAAGTACTCCTCTGAATTATCTCTTCAAGGTATTTATTATTTTAAAATACAGATGCAAAATCTTTTAAATTAGCAATCTGTGTCACATTCTGCTTGCTTAAATACTTTAGAACAAGCTTATGAAAAGTACTTTCTATTCTGACTAAGTTTCTTTGAATTTCATCTAAATCCCACAGACATCTGTAGATAATTTCCTTATAGTAATCTTTTGATTTCAAATATATTTCTTTGCAACAACTTTTCCTGCTAAAGGCAAGTTTAAGGAAAATTTTCTCTTATCCATATAGTAAATGTGTAATTTGTTATGATTTGACTCCATGTGGCCCTCACTGGCCTGGTTTCCAGATAAAGAAACTCTGTTTCCTCCTGAGAGAATTCAGAGTGTGAAAGTGTTGGATCTGAATTAGAAAGACTCACATATGTAAGCAGCAAATCTTGGTTTAACAAGGGTTCACTATGCAAGAAGTGTAACTTTTGCAAGAAGAGGCTTAGAAAATCAGGAGATGGGAAATAACATCGTTAGCTGGAAAGGAAGGAAATGAATTGCTGAGTGTTGTCATACTCCCTCATGAAAACAACAGGAAGGATTTACTAATTTGGCCTAGACTTTGAAGGTGAGTTGTGGAACTTGCTTTGAAAAACATAAAGCCCGTCAAAATCCTGTATCTTTAGAGAATATAGGACTTTTTCCTAGAGTCCTAGCTCATTCTGAGAAACCAAGCTAAAATGCACACACTGAAACTGGTTCTGAAAGTCAGACACTTTAAATTCTAACACTATAGCTTTCAAAATTATTTAGGAGCCCAAATATTTCTCCTCTCTTGGATTTTGGTCACATTTATAGTGAGTGAAAATGAAATCCGTTCTGAAGGTGTTGGTGTTTCAGGTGTTTGTCACAGGCAGATGCAGACTCCCAGATCTGAAAAGCTAACAGTGGAAAAGGAAGCAATGTGCTGTGTAAATGTTTGTCAGTTTAGCCTGTGCACACAGTTTGAGCTGGAGATTTCTTTACATTGTCTGGGTAAACTACCAGTACAATGGCTTTTTACATCTTGGTGGGGTATCTTTTGGAGGGAGAGGAAGAATATAGATTGCATCATATTTAAAATTAATCTTTTCTACAAAAGGCAGGTAACTAAAGCTGTTGTTAGCTTTAATACTTTAATATTAGTATGGACAACAATGTGCTTTTTCTCTGTATCTTTTCTACTTCATGCTATGTTAGATAGTGACTATGTTCTTCAGTGTCAAGTCAGTGAGGTTGCTTTCAGTAACCCAAAAGTGACTTCTAGAAGTGGGAACTGAAAATATGAAGTTTTAAAAACATAACTGACGTCTAGACAAGGCCAAAATAGACAAAAATATTTTGAAAGTATGTTTGCTATAATAAAAAACATCCTCAGATTAATTCTTGAGATAAGTAGTAAGTAAAATAAGTATGCTCTTCAAAAAGACATAGGTTTTTGAAACCTGTAAGAAGTATTACACTGTGATTTTTTGTGTATGTGTGTGTGTCTTACTGTGTGTGCAGTTCTGGGTACCTTTCAGGTCTATAAAATAACATCTTCTTTTAAAATTGTTACTGAAAGTAAGATTTCTCACCCTTAATGGTAAAAGGAAATAACAATTTTTTGCACCCTTAGGCAAAAATGGAAGAGAGGAGGCAGTCAGACATTTATAGGAGAGCTTGTATATCCAAGATTTGTGACGTTTTGATGGCTAAGCAATCAAGGGAGCAAATGGGTTGATGGTTTCACATTATTATACAAATCTTGAGAATAATACGCTCAGACACACAGGGTCTTTAGTGATTTTAAATTTGATGTGTGGTATTTTTGTAAACTTAAATTATAACATTAGAATATTAGTAAAATACCTTCAAGTTTTTTTGGGGGACTGTGTTTATTGAAATGGTAGAGTAATATTTGCCTACTCAAGACTTAACTGAAATGTATGGTGACTGGGCAACCATAGAATGTAATGACAGTGTTTCATCTTATTATATTCCTTTAATATCAATAAAAGCTGGTGCTTCCTATTTTTGGGAGGCATTTGTTAAATGAAGGGTTTGCAAAGTTCTCATTGGGAACTGAATGCTGCTGTGGCCAGAGTTTTTATATTTATGCAAGGAAGTTGGTATTTGTATCTAGATGTTTTAATATGTCTGTTTTGGGGGACCCCTCCTTGAAAATCAGAACCAAGCCTAGTCAATTAACAAGCAAACAAACCTAACTGAAATTTTTGGAGTGGGATGAGTGACAGTGTGCTTCTGTCAATGCATTCATTAACAACAGAAAAAAAATATTTTCAGCAGATGAAAATATAACAACTTGATGTCTGACAGCCTGATTTTACATGCAACCTTTATGTTAAAGCTGTGTGGTATAGACATGCGATTCCTTTTTCCTGATACAGCTGCACTGTGGTATAACCACATCACTGGTTTATAGAAACAGGAATTCAGGTGTAGCTCATTTCCCTTCTTGGTAGCACAGTTACTCTGAGCTGAATTTTCTTCTTTCAAATGTAGCTGTTTAACTGCATGGGTCTAGTTAAAACCATACTACACCTGGGTTAAAGCAGAGTGGAGAAGCCAGTAGTGTCTTGCCAACTTATTCATAGCTGTGTCGTCTCTGTTCTTCATGCAGAATTGAAAAGTGCAAACTGCAAATTAGTGTGATCAGTAAAGTGAATAAATAGCACACTGAATTACCAAATCTGTTGAGTGAGAAAGTGCCATATTTGTGACAATTTTTAAAATGGCTTTCTGTCTTTTACAATATTCCAGCTGAAAGTCACATTCTTCCTATGCTTTCATGTCATGCTACCTCTGCCACAACATTCCAGCCTTGTGCATGAGTAGCACCAAGGGGAACAGGTCACTCCCATCAACAGGTAGCTGCAATCCTTGTGAGTTGTCATCCTGCCCACAGGTAATGGCTGAGTCACCGGGGAGGTGAGTTCCAGGGTTGGATTGCATCTTCCCCTTCCACACTTGTGTTGCTCTGCATGCTGTGCCAGCGCTTGGCTGTAATCACCAAGGCATGACTCATCTGTCTGAGAAAGTTGTGGTCCGATGGGATGGTGCAACCTCACCCCAAATGCCAAAAGATGGTTTATTGTTTGAAGACTGATGTGAAGACTGATGCACCCAGGATTGTAGAGGATGGCATTAAGATGTCTCAGCTCTCCTGGTCCCTGCTCAGTAGCAAAGCTGAAAGAGAAGATCTTGCTCTGGAGAAGTTCTTACAAAACACTTGCTATTCAAGAATTACTTAGACATGTGGTAACTAGTTGAATTTCTCATCTGAAGGCTCCCACATCTCTTGAGAGATGTGCTGTGGGGCTGCCTCTGTATCATGCATACGAGGATACAACCTAATGAAAGCACTGCTTTTCTTCTAGCAGCATTGGTGCCTCCTATTTCTGACCTGTGTAAATGATGCAATATGATACTTTGCTATTCAAAATTCCACCTGCATTTTCATCCATCGCCCTTATCATTTTATATTTATTGATATCCTGACAAGTCTCATGTTCATATTAGGATTGTTGGCCCAACCTTCTGGCAAGCTGCTTTCCTCCTTACTCTCCCTATTTCTAATATTATCTTTTGCAGGTCATATTTTTGAATTGTCTCATGTATCAGCCAGTATCACCCTCTGGGTACACATCCTCGTGATCATAGGCCCTAATTTCTCCATTGCTGTATTTAGTGGCTTTCCCAAATCCTTGCTTCATTTAGCTGAAAACACTTCATATGCCATTATTTCTTTTTGTTTTTTGCTTTTGTAGAGGAGGGTGAGCAGTGCTTTTTTCCATCAATCCCCCTGGATGTCCAAGAGAACCGGTAACAAAACACATAATCTGTCTCTCTTTCCAGGTGTCTCCCCTTTCTGTCAGTGGTCCCTTCTGACCTGTTCTTTTGAAATTCTCAATCTGACATTTAGTATCTTTGTTTAAATTTGCTCCTATTACTCTTTCAGCTCTTATCCCTACCTGCCTGTGTAGAATCCTTGCTGCATTTCACTTTTACATTTCCATTTCTAAATATCATATCCTTACCCTTAGCTCTTTGGCTCTTTCTTCCCTCCTCTTTTACTGGCCTCATCTAAGATTTAAACTTCATTTCAAACTCCCTTGTCCTCCTTTCTATGATTTCATGACCAGTTCTCTCCTCCAAAAACAAATACTTAACTTTTTCTGGGGACAATCAGCTTTTTTACTTTCTCTCTTACTTGGCATGTCTCCATGATATTCTTCCATCAAAGATTATATAATGATTAAAAGTATATTATCTTCCCTAAATTTACCTCTTTGCATTTTATTTTTTCTTATCCTTTATTCTTAGTCATTTTAAGTCTTGCCTTTTTTTTAACTTTTCTTTTGCACACTTGATCACCAGCATGAATTTTCTTCTCTTTTTTTTTTTAACCTTGTTAAAAATAAACCCACAAACAAAACCTGCACACAGAAGGAGTTTGGAACTGTTTGTTGACATAGTGTTACAATATTGCATTAAAAAGTCCGATTAAAAATGCCAGCTCAAACATTAGCTAATATCTATCAAAGTTTGAACCTACATCTTTTGTTGTTTATTTTTGCTCTTTGCTATTTCAATAGCTGTTTGTGAGACTTCAGATATTTGTGCCGTGTTCTGCTTTGTAGCGAGCCCATATGG